TGGATCGATCTCAAAAAACCTAGAAAATGTTCAGAACTCTGCTGAAGAAGTACGACTACTAAGAAGAAAAGGAGAAAACAAGATGCAATGCTGACAAAAGTGAAGCTTTTTCCTTCTTAAACTAAAACCTTGAAACAAGGCAAACAGTATATACTCCTAAAACAGTAGTATGATGAAGGAGGGATGGGTGTTTGGTTTCTGAGCAAAGTACAGAGAAAATCCAATAGAAAATTCAAGGCGTGTAGAGAGGATGCAGCTTTTGCTTCTCTGGCCCTTTTTTCTGCTTCACAAATCACAAATAAAAGAGAAATGCTTTTTATTTAATTTCCTTTTTTTAATTTATGAATTGTATCCGACATTTGAATTTTGGAGGCTTTTATTGCCACCAGATACCGACCGTATTTAAAGAAAATTTTTAACGTTTTTTGAATTTCAAACTGAAAAGACAGTTTTGTCCCCTTGGTGGTTTTACCTTTCTTCCAAATTGGCTAGGCATCACTTGAGAAAAAAATTCCCAAACAATGAAGTTCTCTTTGGTTTAGTTACTACTAACAACCTATAATTATTCGTATCAAAAAAAAAAAAAACCTATAATTATTAATTAATAAATTGACAATTGATATTAGTTTAAAATTTTATAAAATTGATGTTTTTAAATATTTTAATTAATTATTCTTTGTGTTTAACTTTAATAAAATTATTTTCTCAAGTTGAATTTAGTTGTCCTATGTAAATAGAGATAGTTTTTTTTTTTTTTACTGTAAGAAACATGATTAATAAGTTAATATCTGTTCGAGTACCAATTGAGAAATCAACTTGATGATCATGTATTGCGCTCCACCTTACTTCTCATACGGAGAAACGTGACTACTTGATCACATAAGGATGAGTGCTCTAATTAGAGATAGTTTAATTTAATTAGTTGTCTCACTTTCTATTTAAATAATATATTAAATATTAATATTTTAATTTTACTCTTATTTTAAAAAGGATAAAAATACATTAGGATTTTTTATTTAATTATAAGTAAGGGTAAAAATGAAAAGATAAATCTTAATTATTATAATAAATAAATTTTTTGATAATCATGAATAGATAAAATGAAACAACTAAATCCTATGAATGAAGGAAGTATTTTTTATCCAATTAAATAAGCATTACTTGAATATGCTTTCTTTTTTAATATATATTGCAATTATATATTTCTAACATGTGATGTAAATTTTGGTACCAATACCATATAGATAAATTTAATTAAATAGTTGTAAAATTAAAAATTAATTTTTGTTTACCAACACAAATTTACAATCAAAAGGTATTTTATTGCACTATTTAGGACAATATTAGAAAAGATATTTAAAGAAAAAATGTTATAAATCAATGAAATCAGTTAAACAAAACACACCTTAAAATTGTTAAGCTATATTATTTTTCATAAATATTTTTCACTTTAATTGATAGAAAAACTAATATTGGATCAAAATTTCTTTATAAAATAATATTTTTAAACAACCTTACTAACTAGCTGTTTAGAGAAAAAAAAAATGATAAAATCAAGTAATCAACCAAACCAAAGACAAGCTGAAATTGTTAGGCTATAAATTTTCATAAATATATTTCACCAGATATATATTTCCATTCAAAAAATATTTTATTTTTAAGAAAAATGTTTAACACAAAATGTTTTTGAAGTTGTTTGAAATAAAAAAGCTAAGGAATACTTATAAAATTATTTGTGTGTCCTTAATCATCTCTTGCGTATTAATTAATTAATGATGATATTTAATTCTTTTTACAGTTATTTTGTTTTAATAAATCATAATTTTTTAAATTAAAAAGTTAAGTTCCATTTAGTATAATTGTGGCCAAAGTTGTTAAAATCAAGAGTTTAAGTAAATTTGTTTTGGTTAGGTAAAATCTAAATCATAAAGTTGAATTGATAAAACAAAAAATTTATTAAATTAATTTAAAATTTATATATTCCTAAAATTTAACATCAAATATTTAATTTTAAAATTTATCTAAAAGTCTAATTATTAATTAATTACTTCAAGTGTTTGTTGAGCATTTTTTTATTTCATAATTATTAAACTGATCCAAATTTTAATAAATTTGATCTAAAATTATTCATAATTAAATGTTATTAGTTTAATTTATAAAAAAATTAATAAAACTTCAAAATTTTTACTAGAAAACAAAAAAAAGACAAAATTACATGACCCAAATTTAAACAACTACAAAATAACCCATAAATAGGTAACAAGTACCACTTCATCAATGCGTTATTAGTGATTATGAATTACATTATAACAAAAAAATTCATAAAATTTTTTAAATTTGTGGAAATCTCAACTTTATCCAATTTTATAAGTTTATTATAATTTTATAATTTCGAACCCAAGTTTATAAAATTATGATTTTAACTTAAATTTAACGCAATTTAAATACTTAAAATCATAAAATTATACGACTTTATAACTAAAATTCACGATTTTAACAACCATAAGTGTGGTTATAAATTTTTGTTTTAGTTTATAAAAATTTAAAAACTCTAAAATAAATTAAATAGTTCTATAAATTAAATACATTTAAAGTTTTAAATATTTATTTTAAAATTTTATATCTAATTTATTTGTAGTTTTAATTTTTAATTTTAATTTTTAATTATTAAATTTAATTATTTAAATTTTAAAAGCAAAAACTAAAAATTTTAAATGAAAAACATTCTAAATTAAGCCTTATACTTTTGCCGTTTCTATCTTCCTCCAATTTCATGCTAATAGCAGTATATTTAATCAAATTTTATCAAGTACGTTTCAACCAAGTCGGATTTTTCTTTTTCCGCTCTTTTCTCTTTATATTTTTTATTCCAAATTTTCCTTTTTGAGAAAATAATTGGCATTTGGGAAAGTAGTTGTACTTGCCAAAAATAAGCTAAATCATCAACACCACACCCACATATAATTGCCAATTACCCATTTCCCCACCATCCGTCAGGATTTTGGTGGGAGTTAGTTAGACTTAAATAATATTGACCAAATATGCACGTATTGCTAAAATTTTAAAAATTTCGAAAATAAACAAAAAAAAAAAGTTTAAGGTGAAAAAATTATCATGCTTTAATTACACAATAAATTTTCTTTGATAATTTTTAATGGGTTTGTTTAAGGTAATAGCACAAGTACTTCTTTTGGTGTGATTTAATTGTCTTATTTTTAAATAAAAATAGTTTAATTTGACTCTCCAATTTATTAATTTCAATGAAAATAACTCGATTCTTTTTAAATAAATTTTTAAGTTTCAATTTCATAAATAAAAAAATAAGTATTAGAAGAACTTTCTCCATTATAGTCCAATGCAACTTGATTCTGAATTAATTAAGTTCAATGTGATTTTTATATACCAAGAGTTAGTAAAAAAATAATTTAATTTAGTTATCTCATTTTTTTATTTCAATAAGATATCAAATACTAGTATTTTAACTTTGTTTTTATCTCTAAAAAATGAAATTGAGTTAGAGGTTTTTTGTATAATTGAAAGTTAATGTGAAAATGAAAAAATAAGTTTAAATTATTGTATAAATAAATTTTTAGATGATCATAAATACATAAAGTAAGATAACTAAATTAAATTGGATAGAATAATTATTAAACAATGACTATGACATTTTTCTTAAAAAAAAGTGAAATTTTAAATTAATAATATAAGTTCTGACTTTTAATTATAAAGAACCAATAAAAAACTAATGCATATTGTTGTTAATGAGTAAAAATTGTAACAATTATAATTAAAATCAAAGTTAACTTCTTCTTTTTAAGTCAAAAAGCACTCCTCAGTTTTTCAAAATAATTGTTATTTTTTAATTTTTTCTCTAAATTAAGAATTTAAGAACAATTTATATATTTACTTATATTATTATAAAAAAAGATGAATAGACATTTTTTACAAGATAACTAATTAAAGTAAATAAATAATAATAAAGTTAACCAGAAAAAAAAATATTTGTTTGCTTTCAAATTTTAAAAAAAAAATGACAATTAATTTGGATGAAAGGAGTATGTCTAGCTTGGAGAGTGAAGTTTCCCTAACTTTTCCTCTTTCAAGATTATTTATGTATTTTTATATCTTATAACCACAATAAAAGAAGAGTAAAAGTGATATAATAAAGCTTATTTTTTTAACATAATTCTCAATGTATAATTTATAATGTTTTTACGAAACTTCCTATTTGTGCTATATATATTATATTTTTTGTATTCAACATCTTCAAGAATTTTTTTTCTAATTATCATTCATAATTTAAAACTCATAAAAAAAAACTAAAAAAATAACAGTCAAATCTCCTATTTACATCTTAATTTTATTGGTGATTCGAAGTTTTTTATGAATTTCAAATTATAAAAAGTATCCAGTAAAAGTGAAAATTATAAAAAACGTCAATTACAAAAAAAAAATAATAAATAATGTGTAGAGTATAAATAAGAATTTGGTTTATATATATATTTTGCTATACTTTATAAAAAGAAAAGGCTTTTTCCCAACTTTCTTTGCATGAAACTTATTTGATAATTGTTGTACTAACATTTTTTATGTCAATTTTTTACCCAAAACAAAAAAATTGATGACCTAATAAAATTTTCACAAAAATTCATTATAAAATTTATCAATTTTTCATATAATATTTTTCAACTCTTTATACAATAATTTCTCAACAAAAACTTTTTTATTAGCCTCTAACCGAAACACCCTAGCGAGACGAGATGAATGAACCGAATTTTAGTTACATCGATAAATGATTCCATGCAGAATGGACTACAATTGGTAGCGAACACCATCATTCTCAATCTCAAGATGCCATTTGATGGTTGAAATTAATTTTTTTTTTTACAGTAAAAATTACATTAGTATAATTAATATTTATTTTTAAAGAGATAGGAAAGTATCAAACCTAAAACTTGAATTACACATATTTTTAAGAGTATCTCACTTTATTTCTCAACAATAAACGTGGCCACTTGAGAGTCATGTAGTGTGAGTTGAAATTAATTATTATAAAAGAATATCTCAACGAGACAAGTACTAAATAAACACTAAAAAAGAAATAATAACTTTCATTAAAAACAAAAATAGCAAGTTAATCAGAGGCAGCTTGTCTGTTAGACAGAACATTTAAATAATTCATCATAGCTACCTTCATAAAAACTGCTAGTAAATTATAAATGATTATTCATTTACATATAATTCTTAAATATTTTAGTTATATAAAATTTTAATTATTATATTTATTTTTTCATTTTTAATAATTAAATTTTATTATAATTTTATAAATAAAAAATAATGATTAAAAATAAATAAATCTTAAATATTAAAGTAAAAAAATAAATAATTAAGATTTTATATAAATATGATATTAAATCTAACAAACAGGTTGGATTAAGTGGGTTCGGATTAGGTCATTTCGGGTGTCGAATTAAGGAGAATAACTCATGACCCATCCACATAAATCTTAGATTGGGTCGGATTGACCCAACTTTTAAAAAATTAAAATTAAGATTAAAATTTTTCTATATTTTTCTCTATATTTTTAACAAAATCTAATACTAATTAACTATTCAGTTAAAAAACTTTATTACTAATTAATTATTTAGTTAAAAAATTTTATTAAACGTTAATTTTCATTTTATATCAATTTTTTTTCCAATCTCAATAAAAGAAAAGGAAAAGATTAGTAATTATATAAGTGGAACTAAAATATATGTCAAATATATAATACCTATACAATATTTAGAATTCATAATTTTATAAAGGTATTAATCTTCATTAAAAGAAAATAAACGAAAGATTAGAGTTCAAAAGATAAATCCAATATATGTTAATATCTAATGTCTATTGAATATTTATAAGACTATTATACAAAAAATACAGCTCTATTCAATATTTAAGAGGATATTATACAAAAAAGATAACTATTTTCAATATTAAAGTTTAAAAGGTAAATTCAAAATATGTTTAACCAAATATAAGAAGAAATTGGATCAAAATTGATTTTTATTAATTAGAAACAAATTATTAATTAAGAACAAATTAGCAACAAAGAACGGACCTTGATGTTCTTGATATTTTTGTCTTTGTATTTTTAATGATTATGAGGGTACCTCAACCATTAGGTTTTGATTTTCAATAGACATTCTTGTTTTTTATTTTAAAAAAAATTATATTTTTTATGATGTCATATGATATAATTCATTATGTGCCACCTAATTTAATTTTCTACGCAAGTGCCACCAAAAAGAAAGATTAAAGAGCAGTGAGTCAATATCGTATTGGTATACATACCGATTATGCTACCGAAACAATATATACCATATATCAAAATTTTTTGTGTGCCGTTTCAAATTTATTGCTGTAAATATATATTTTTATAAATTAAATATCAATTTTTTTTTCCTTTCTAATCATGGTAGTTACATGTAATTAATAATTTAAATTTTATGTTATCACTTTAATGATATGTTTTTATTTTTAAAATTTATTGATATTGCCTTTTTTAAATTGTATTCCTGATCCCTGATTCCTAATTCCTTAAGTGAAGGCAAAAAAAAAAAAAATAAATTCATTAGCAATTAATCTTAAATTTACAGGGAGAGGAAAAATAAAAAAAATAAAAAACCTGCTTAATTAGACCAATTTTTAGAAGAATCTAGATGAATAAAATCAAAGCATCGAACATTAGGATATAGAAAGAAAACTGACATCTGAAGGGTTGTTTGGACTTGAATTCCTGCAACCGCGAACTGATTTCAACTTCGTCGGAGTAGAGATAGGACCTTCCTACGCTAGCGCCCTATCGACAAATGTTAATCTTTGTTTGCCAGAAGTGCAATCGGCTCCAGATCTCTACCAGTCCCCCCCTACTTCTCTTCGATTTTGACGGTCACGATCTCCTTGATTGGAGACGAGTTGCGGCTAGTTACAGCCGGCATTATCCAAGAAATTGTCGACAAACTGAGCGTCGTTAGATTTCGATCTCTGGGAAAATTGGAGGCTCTGTCTTCCAATTAGTAAAGAGGATGAGAGAGAGCCTCAATTCAGCATTATAAGCATTATAAGGAGCCTCAGCTTTTTCTTTTCTTTTTTTTTTTCTCTTTTTCACTCGATTAAGTTACAGGGATTGTCCTAGTGTAA